CTAAGGAAGAAAATTCCCTTTGTCAGTAAGCAGACACGTCCATTTGAAACATGACAGTTTCAAGTATCCAATTACTTAATTATTTTAAATAGTCTACCATATACCTGTACCCATACTCCCATATCCATTCATTTAAACAATTCTGTAAAGTCTGAATACATTTTACTTGATATCAAAAGGAGATAAAAACATCTCTATCTCTGAACAACAGAAATAAAGACATCTGAACAACATCTATGAAGAATAAAATATATTAAGTGGTATTTTGCTAAAAAAATAAAATTCCATTAATACAAAAAAATGTTTTTCTTGGATTACTTCAGATGCATTTACAAGCAAAAAGTGACTAAAATTGTTTTCTAGATAGTTATCTGCAATCAGCAATTTATGAATTAAACTGCCTGTTTCTGATACTTTCATCTCAAATCCACCCTTTCTGATGTGTTCCACTAATTGAACACAGTGAAAAAAACACAGCCACCCACCCCCTCCAACCACCCGAAAAACAGAAGAAAAAAAATATCAATACCTTCCTCTGCATTTTAAACTATGAATGACATGGCCAAAACAGAAGCCAGAGAGTATTTTTCTTCATCTACATAAAAAAACCTGTCAAAAGTCAATTTACCTCATCAACCAACTAGTTCCAAGTGTTTAGCCAGGAACTTTCTCATCCAGTTCATTGGTTTGACTTCAGATTTACATTCAGTATTTGTTGCCAACTTCTTACATTTAAGCATCTTATATTTGTTCGAATATGCCTAAGTCCTAAGATAGACTATCAATTTAAGAAAAAGAAACACTACCAATAAAAATTACTTTGTACTCACACTTTTCTCAAAATAATTGATTTTATTGATTCAGAGCACAGCAGGACTGGAATCTCTTGCACTAAATGGCAAGCAGACCTACAGCGTAACAGTCACGCCAAAAAGAGCTTATTGACTAAAAATTTACCTACAAACTGATAAAACAGCAAAAAACAGGACACTGTTGTAAGTCACATTTGGAGAAAAAGACAGAAGCAACTGAAATTAAATTTTTTATTGAAGTTTTGCTCTAAGTTCAATTCAGTGTTTCCTTTTTTTTTTTTTCTTGGATATTTAAATCAACTCTAAGTACGTCAGTAAAACTAGTGTTGGCCACAACAGACTTCAACCAAAGTCAAATCTATTGCACCTCCAAGGTTGATTAAAAAAAGCCTAAATTCAAGTGAACTGGTGAAGTCTTGACCTTAAAAGAAAAACACAGATGAATGCACTCTCATCACTGCAAACAATAAAGAGGGAAGTAAACTATTTATAAGAGCATGCTTGAAATCTCAGATTTTAAACAGGAAGCTGCCCAACAGAAAAAAAAAAATCTGACTGCACAGGACTGTCAAAGTTGAGCTGTAAAATTTCTCTAAACCTCTTTTCTTGCAAGTTTGAATGCCTACTTTGCTTTCATTCAAATCAGAACTCCACTTCTGTGTTGAGGCATATATCACAATGGATTTCCTGCCAAGACTCATTAAAATGGTAGTTCTTGATGAATACAAGTATTCATCAGTTAAGACGACTTTATGATACAGATTTCCAAGTTAAGTTTCCCTCAACATATATTAATTATTAGCTTGAGTTTACCGAATTCATTCATCCATGTGGTTTTATTTACTACTCTCAGTAGAGTCAGCATACATGCATTAGGAGAAATTTAAATTTCTAGTCATGAAGACAAGCAGAATCCAAACCCTATGTACAAAACTCTAGAGGTATAAATTTCATTAAGAGGTCATGAGTCAAACCACAGTATGCAGAGTTATATTTCATTATACCTCTCTGCATCTAACAGCAATACATTTGTAATACTTCTATAAGAAACAATTTGCAGTAGACAAGTATGCTAGATCAATTTTACAGTTGCCACTTTGCCGTGTTCAAAAAGGACATGACTTAGCAGTACTAGCTCCCGAAGTATTGTACAATGAAATCAATCCCAGTTCCATTACTGGAAAATTGTAGACACTACTATTTCTTTAAGCTTTTTAGGATGCTCAGAAAGGCAACGTATTGTGCTGAACAGTACCAGACCAAAGGGCCATTAACTGAAAACAGGGCCTAGTCAATTACGCTGAACACAACTGGGTTGGAGTGAGGTCAGAAGATGTTAAGCCACTACAGTAGCCCAGGATTGTGAGACGAATCAGTGTTGAGAGTACCGCTTCAAGTACTCAGAACAAGTTCTCACAGCTGCTAAAGAAAAAAGTGAAGCGGATAAACCATAATTAAAATGAACTTGTAAATTGATGCATTTCATTTAGTTGTACAACACCCATTTGCATCAGCTTCCAGGGCTGAAGTTGCATTTGTGTTTTTGTCTCATCATACTCTATTTAAATCAGGTTGCTAGTTTCCATCTCTTTCTGCACTAGGAAACTCAATTAGAACCATGGTGTGCTTAAACTGAAAAGAAATTTAAGGTACAAGGTCACCAAGCCACCATTAAGCTAGAGCAATTGCCAGCAAAAACAATGCCGCTGTAGGCAATCCTATGCTATTATAGTTTTGTTCCAACCCACAAAAGACTTAACATCAGGCACACAATTTCTCTATTTAACATACGAACAGCTGTGCCTCAGTTATAAACTAAGAAAACAAAGACTAATAAGATACTTATACGAGAAATCGAAGATAAAAATGGACGTTAGAGGGCAGCGAGTGCATTATTGAGTCAAACAAACAAAGCCATACTAAATCATACACTCAGGATTAAAGTTTTGGACACCTTTTAGTAGATGTGCACACTAACTCTGGGCCTCCGAAATACACTTTAGTCATCAGTTAGCTTCAGCACATTATCCAATAACCTGAAGTTACCAGGCAAGAAAGCAGATGTAGTACAGAGGGTTAGGGGATAAGACAACCTCAACTTTTACTTCCCCTTTTGGTAAACCTTGCATTAACCAGATGCGTTCCTGTACCTCCAGTGGGTCCACTTACAATCTCACCCTATTATAGTCATACCAATTCTTAAGTGACATAAATCTGGGCAAGACACGAGCCTAGGGATGGGGGCAGAAGCAGAAGATTCAGCAGAATCAGCTCAGAAATCACAATACCTATGACATGTGTCCTGTCCCATCTGTTCAGTATCCTGGAGATTAACAGAACAAAACCTGAATTTTTGGGTATAGACAGACTACTTTAATCTCCCAGTACAACTGAAGTATATTTTCATGTAGTTAGTAGCCATGCCAATATACATACATTCCCTTGTACCTGCATGTGAACAGTCTGACAGAGGACTAACCTCTAAATTATTAGTTCTTATAAGCATTTAGTACATTAAAGACCTGCCAAGATAATAATGGTTCAAGTTTTCAAGATAGTTTGTTGCAGTGGTAAATGTAAGTCTCGGCATTTGTAGTAGAAATACTTGCAGTGCCAAGTACTGTTGCAAAGAGATTTAAGCACCTGTGGCATCTGACTCCACCAGACAGTTTTCAACTCAAACATGAGTATTAGAGCTACCACCCGCTACACAGTTTGAACACTCTCCAACATTTTTCATAATACCAAAATAATGTGCTGGACAACACAGATTATTTCAGCCTCCTAAGTGAGAAATTCTTCTAATCTCTTTCCCAAAACTTTACTGGACAAGTATTTTATACTTTTTTTAATTATTAGTATTATTACTCCTCATTCATTAGATTCACCTAAAAGATTATGGTGTAGCTCTCACAACCTATTTGTCCTCTTAAAACGTTCTCAAGTATATCAAAATTCACCTAGAGGAAATGATGAAAAACAGCTTACTCTTTTTCTGTTCAGATGAAAATATCACCCTGGCAATTTTTTTTCTTACGAGACTAACTTGAAAGAAAAAAAAAAATCCCAGAACCAGGGTAGGAATATCCTAACAATCTATGCAAACAAAGTCCATAAAGGCCTTCAGTTTCTACACCCATTCTTCTGGGACAGACAGATCCTGGCTATTTAGTCTTCTTGTTTATACAGAAACAGCCACACGCTACCCAGCAGAGCAAACTTTGAGGTCAAAGTCTCTTCTCCAGAGAGCTTCCAAAATCAGATCTTGGCTATACAAGTCAAGCATCCAAGAGATGACACCATACTACAAAAAGAACCACATAACTCACCAGCTTGGTGCTGGTCATACTCACTTTGAGGTTCCAGGTCAGTAAATATGAGAAGTTCAGACCCACGTTTCTATCCACTGCTAGCAATTTTGCAGCTACCTTAGAGTTATTGAAAATTTTGCCTCTCCGTGTCCAGAAGGCCAGTGCACACGCTATGAGTACGTGCAACAAATAAAGCCATGAAGAGGGAGAACACATCAATTTAAACAGGTCCACCTGACATGGAGCTTCACAGAATCATTGCGTGATTTCACTCTAGTTATTTTTACAAGGTCAGATTAGCAGCACAATCTTGTGTTTCTACAGTTTTGGCAATTGTGATTAACAACTTCAAAACTCTTTTGTGCTAAAGGCAGCTCCGCTTACATTTATCAATTGCTTTCCCCTCATTATAACTTTCTAGTTAACAAGAATATTTGCTTATCTCATTTAAACTTTGGGAGAGGACGCTACAGTTGCAGACAGTGCATCTATGAGTCAATACATATCTGCACCGTGATTTTCCATTTTTACTGGAATGCCACGGATAAGTGAACTTAAGTCATATTGCTACCTAGTGACTAATTTCAAAAGCATCTTTACACAAGCAGTAACTGATTAGAGCGCTGTTACTCTGGAGTTAAAACAACGTTACCGTATCTAGGCTTATGGATAGGAGATGTATACGAGAGTTAAGGATGCGTAATTTAATCTTTCAAGCCATGGTTCAACAGCCTCCATGCAAATTAACTTATATTTCTTTATAGTGTAGGGCAGAGGCACAGAAACCATAGTCTGCAGGCCAAAGTCCACCTATTACAACATCTCTTTAAGTTTGAAGCACACATTTCTTAATGCATTACTGGAGAGATTGACAGACCTGCTCAGTTAGAAAAAAAGCTTAGGTTCTTAGTCCGCTCTGATGGAGTGTGGCTCAGGACATCATGACATAGGACACAGAAGAAAAACCTATGGAAGGAGAAAGATGAAGAGCACAAACGGTGTTTCAAGAGGAGGAAAAAAGAAGGAAGAAGGAAAGGAATTGTAAGGAGAAAAAAAAAGGGGAATTTAACAGCCATTGTATGAAGAGCTTCCCAACCAATGCAGTTTACCGCTGAAAAATTCCACTTTATTACCACAAGCATGTTATCTCTTTAAAACTCATTTCACCCTGTGTTTAGGCAAACCCTTATTAAACCCCCTGGGTACACACCACCCTCGGGGGCTATGAAACTTGTTACTTTCCACACCTACTGGAGACAGGTTGGTAACGATATCACTAAAAGCCAGAGAACTTTTCCTACTCGGTTGGAGGTGATGCCTGAGAGCACAAGCTATCTGCAAGAGTTTTTACTGCAAGCTTCATCTTGCCCTGTCACTCCCTCCTCCCTCTCTCCTGGCTTCACTGTACAGACCAAACCTAACGAGGAAGTCGAGATCTGAGGGCGGAAGCCAAGCCCATTGCAATGTCTGCAGGAGGATTGTCAGCCTGTGACTCAGGCTACAGCCCTGACAGCTGCCAAACGGTCCTATTTTTCCCTACCCGTTACTTCCAAAGGACGGACACTTAAACGCGAGGGGGGAAAGGGGGGAGACGCACCGGAGGGAGGGGAGAGAGGACGGTCCGGTGGAAAAGAGCGCGAATAACGCCCCCTCACCTCCGGGAAGGCCAGTTAGCAGGGCGTGGAGGGAGGAGAGAGGCAACTCCCCGGGCATAATGCAACCGTGCGGCGCACGGCGCGGCG